TGTGATATGGAACCTTGTAGTACAATTTCATAAAGATCCATACACTTACACACAAGTTATTGTCATGAAACTAGAAAAATGCTTGTTTTTTGCCCCATTTTTGGCCCCCAATTCCTAAAATTTGGAGGCAATTACCCCCAAAATCAATCCCAGCATTCCCTTTGTGATATGGAACCTTGTGGTACAATGTCAGAGAGATCCATACACTAACACACAAGTTATGTCTGGAAGTTACAAAAATGCTTATTTTTGGCCCCTTATTCCTTAACTGTTGGTACCATAACCCCCAAAATCAATCCCAACCTTCCTATTGTGGTATTGAACCTTATGGTAAAATTTCATAGAGATCCATTCACTTAAACTAAAGTTAGAGTGCGAAAACCAATGTGTCTTTGGACGACGACGACAACGACATCGACAACGACGACGCCAACGTCATACCAATATACAACCGCAAAATTTTTTTTGCGGTCGTATAAAAAAGGGTTTTTTTCCAGTTTTCGGACAATAACTCAAAAATGCTTTCAGCAGTTTTCATGAAACTTTGGTGAATTGTTTATTTCTATTGACGTAAGCTCCCTTTCGATTTTTATAAATTTTAGATTTTACGTTTCGGAGTTATGTGATTGTGTTCATTAATAAACTGCTTCGCTGAGCGCAGCTGGATAAGCCCGCAGAGGTCCAACAGTTGGGGCAAAAATGGACACAATATTCAAGCTTGATACAGGTCTGAATTTGGATTGTAATTAAATATTTGATATATTATAGGTTTCTGAATAAACGTAGTCAAAGAACTTGAAATTGGTTATATGAAAGATTTCTTGCTGTTGTGCAATACACTGTGCTGTTGCGTAATACTTAGTAAATCTGTTGTCAGACTATAAACAAATAAAATCTTATAACTCAGAAACATAAAATTGAAAATTTATAAAAATCAAAAGGGAGCTTACAACTAGAGGCTCTCAAGAGCCTGTGTCGCTCACCTGATTCTACTTTGGTTTTGGAAATCATGTAAAAATAGATTAAAATCATAACAGATACCCTAATAATGAGTGAGGCCAAATTTGGTTTAATATTGGTCCTGTAATTTAATAAAAAATCCTAGTGGCCATCTTGAACAGTAAATTGGCAACAAAGTAGCAACACTTAATCAGCACCTCATAAGAAACATTTATGCCATGTTTTGGTTTCATTCCATTAAGTGCACCTCTAGAAGAAGCATTTGTATGTATTTCCCATAGGGTCTTATGTTAAAGGAAGTCCCCCCATTGGCGGCCATCATGGATGAAGGATCAGCTTCAAAGTAACAAAACTTAGTCAGCACCTCATAAGGAACATTCATGCCATGTTTGGTTTCAATCCATTCAGTATGTGGTTCTCTAAAAGAAGACATTTGTATGTATTGTCCTTAGGGTCCTTTGTTAAACATTGTCCCCATCTGGCAGCCATCATGGATGAAGGATCAGCTTCAAAGAAACAACACTTGGTCAGCACCTCAAAAGGAACATGCATGCCATGTTTGGTTTCATTCCATTCAATGGTTCTCTAAAAGAAAACATTTGTACGTATTTCTCATAGGGTCCTATGTTAAACTAAGTCCTCCGCTGGCGGCCATCTTAGATTATGGATCGGCTTCATAATAACAACACTTGGTCAGCACCTCATAAGAAACATTCATGCCATGTTTGGTTTCATTCCATTCAGTGGTTCTCTAAAAGAAGACATTTGTATGTATTTCCCATAGGGTCCTATGTTAAACTAAGTCCCCCGCTGGCTGCCATCTTGGATGATGGATCAGCTTCAAAGTAACAACACTTGGTCAGCACCTCATAAGGAACATTCTTGCCATGTTTGGTTTCATTCCATTCAGTGGTTCTCTAAAAGAAGACGTTTGTATGTATTTCCCATAGGGTCCCATGTTAAACTAAGTCCCCCGCTGACGGCCATCTTGGATTATGGATCGGCTTCAAAGTAACAACACTCGGTCAGCACCTCATAAGGAACATTCATGCCATGTTTGGTTTCATTCCATTCAGTGGTTCTCTAAAAGAAGACATTTGTATGTATTTCCCATAGGGTCCAATGTTAAACTAAGTCCCCTGCAGGCGGCCATCTTGGATTATGGATCGGCTTCAAAGAAACAACACTCGTTCATCACCTCATAAGAAACATTCATGCCATGTTTGGTTTCATTCCATTCAGTGGTTCTCTAAAAGAAGACATTTGTATGTATTTCCCATAGGGTCCAATGTTAAACTAAGTCCCCTGCTGGCGGCCATCTTGGATTATGGATCAGCTTCATAGTAACAGCACTTGGTCAGCACCTCATAAGGAACATTCATGCCATGTTTGGTTTCATTCCATTCAGTGGTTCTCTAAAAGAAGACATTTGTATGTATTTCCCATAGGGTCCTATGTTAAACTAAGTCCCCCGCTGGCTGCCATCTTGGATGATGGATCAGCTTCAAAGTAACAACACTTGGTCAGCACCTCATAAGGAACATTCTTGCCATGTTTGGTTTCCTTCCATTCAGTGGTTCTCTAAAAGAAGACGTTTGTATGTATTTCCCATAGGGTCCCATGTTAAACTAAGTCCCCCGCTGACGGCCATCTTGGATTATGGATCGGCTTCAAAGTAACAACACTCGGTCAGCACCTCATAAGGAACATTCATGCCATGTTTGGTTTCATTCCATTCAGTTGTTCTCTAAAAGAAAACATTTGTATGTATTTCCCATAGGGTCCAATGTTAAACTAAGTCCCCTGCTGGCGGCCATCTTGGATTATGGATCAGCTTCATAGTAACAGCACTTGGTCAGCACCTCATAAGGAACATTCATGCCACGTTTGGTTTCATTCCATTCAGTGGTTCTCTAAAAGAAGACATTTGTATGTATTTCCCATAGGGTCCCATGTTAAACTAAGTCCCCTGCAGGCGGCCATCTTGGATTATGGATCGGCTTCAAAGTAACAACACTCGGTCATCACCTCATAAGAAACATTCATGCCATGTTTGGTTTCATTCCATTCAGTGGTTCTCTAAAAGAAGACATTTGTATGTATTTCCCATAGGGTCCAATGTTAAACTAAGTCCCCTGCTGGCGGCCATCTTGGATTATGGATCAGCTTCATAGTAACAGCACTTGGTCAGCACCTCATAAGGAACATTCATGCCATGTTTGATTTCATTCCATTCAGTGGTTCTCTAAAAGAAGACATTTGTATGTATTTTTCATAGGGTCCCATGTTAAACTAAGTCCCCTGCAGGCGGCCATCTTGGACTATGTATCGGCTTCAAAGTAACAACACTCGGTCAGCACCTCATAAGAAACATTCATGCCATGTTTGGTTTCATTCCATTCAGTGGTTCTCTAAAAGAAGACATTTGTATGTATTTCCAATAGGGTCCTATGTTAAACTAAGTCCCCCGCTGGCGGCCATCTTGGATGATGTATCAGCTTCAAAGTAACAACACTTGGTCAGCACCTCATAAGGAACATTCATGTCATGTTTGGTTTCATTCCAATCAGTGGTTCTCTAAAAGAAGACATTTGTATGTATTTCCCATAGGGTCCCATGTTAAACTAAGTCCCCTGCTGGCGGCCATCTTGGATTATGGATCGGATTCAAAGTAACAACACTCGGTCAGCACCTCATAAGGAACATTCATACCTTGTTTGGTTTCATTCCATTCAGTGGTTCTCTAAAAGAAGACATTTGTATGTATTTCCCATAGGGTCCTATGTTAAACTAAGTCCCCCGCTGGCGGCCATCTTGGATTATGGATCGCCTTCAAAGTAACAACACTTGGTCAGCACCTCATAAGAAACATTCATGCCATGTTTGGTTTCATTCCATTCAGTGGTTCTCTAAAAGAAGACATTTGTATGTATTTCCCATAGGGTCCTATGTTAAACTAAGTCCCCCGCTGGCGGCCATCTTGGATGATGGATCTGCTACAAAGTAACAACACTTGGTCAGCACCTCATAAGGAACATTCATGCCATGTTTGGTTTCATTCCATTCAGTGGTTCTCTAGAAGAAGTTCAAAATGTAAAAAGTTAATGCCGACGCCGGACGACGGACGCCAAGTGATGAGAAAAGCTCACTTGGTCCTTTGGGCCAGGTGAGCTAAAAATAGATATAAACAATTTACCAAAGTTTCATAAAAAATCCTGAAAGCATTTTTGAGTTATTGTCCGAAAACTGGAAAATCCCCCTTTTTGTAATGAATAAAATCCCATAAATCAGAAACATATAGTCTGAAATTTATAAAAATCATAAGGGAGCTCATGTCGATAGAAATAAACAATTCACCAAAGTTTCTTGCAAATTGGTGAAAGTGTTTTTGAGTTATTGTCTGAAAACTGGAAAATACCCCTTTTTTTAATGAATAAAACCCCAAAACTCAGAAATGGTAAATCCGAAATTTATAAAAAACGAAAGGGAGCTCACGGAAATAGATATAAACAATTCACCAAAGTTTCATGCATATTGGTTGAAGTGTTTTTGAATTAATGTCCGACATGTTGACGACGGACGGACGGTCAGACGGACGGACGGACGGACGGACGGACAGACGGATGGACAGACAGTCAATGGTATACCATAATACGTCCGTAAACGGGCGTATAAAAAGGGGGTATTTTTCAGTTTTCGGTCAATGCTTTGAGCAGATATCATGAAACTTTGGTGACTGGTTTATATCTATTAAGATAACCTCCCTTTAGTTTTTCATGAATTTCTGATATGACATTGAGAAGTTATTGAACTTTATTCTTTGAAAAAGTGACGGGCGTATCATGCGCACATGGCGCAACTGTTTATTTAAACAAGTTACCCAAATAATGATTGTGACTAGGTTTGCTTTCATTTGGCTCAGTTGTCAGTTAAACAGACAACAATAATTGTTGAGAATTGCTCACTTGACCTATGGGTGACAAATCTGACAAAAATTACATATTAATGTGCAGGACAATTAAAAGATACAAGCAATACACTTTAGTATTAAGTAAACTTTATTATTCAATTAGAGTGTATCAATTCATCATATTCTAGGGGTTCATTTCTCCATACTGTAATCTGTGGCTCTGGATGCTTTCTTTTTTTCACTGGATCTTTGTACTTAAGGTATACTGTACTTCTAAACTTCACTGATTTTGTATCGTTTATCTGAAATTGAAAAGGAGAAAAGTTGTTGTTTTTATTGTCGGGCCATTCGTCATCATGGAAACCATGCAGAGAGCTATCTTAAGTATTGTTATGCATGCTCCTTTCTTTATATTTATGCATTTTTCTCTATTCATTATTTTCTTGCCCTATTTTTCTATATTCTTTATTCTTTTGGCCTATTTTACTGTAATATAAGACCCTCATACTAGATATAAAGTTGCCATGCAGTGAGCTATACTAGATATAATTTTGTCATGAACCATGCAGTGAGCTATACTAGATATAATGTTGTCATGAACCATGCAGTGAGCTATACTAGATGTAATGTTGTCATGAACCATGCAGTGAGCTATACTAGATGTAATGTTGTCATGAGCCATGCAGTGAGCTATACTAGATGTAATGTTGTCATGAACCATGCAGTGAGCTATACTAGATGTAATGTTGTCATGAACCATGCAGTGAGCTATACTAGATGTAATGTTGTCATGAACCATGTAGTGAGCTATACTAGATATAATATTGTGATGAACCATGCAGTGAGCTATACTAGATATTATGTTGTCATGAACCATGCAGTGAGCTATACTAGATATAATATTGTGATGAACCATGCAGTGAGCTATACTAGATATAATATTGTGATGAACCATGCAGTGAGCTATACTAGATATAATGTTGTCCCGAACCATGCAGTGAGCTATACTAGATATTATGTTGTCATGAGCTATACTAGATATAATGTTGTCATGAACCATGCAGTGAGCTTTACTAGATATAATGTTGTCATGAACCATGCAGTGAGCTATACTAGATATTATGTTGTCATGAACCATGCAGTGAGCTATACTAGATATAATATTGTGATGAACCATGCAGTGAGCTATACTAGATATTATGTTGTCATGAACCATGCAGTGAGCAATACTAGATATAATATTGTGATGAACCATGCAGTGAGCTATACTAGATATTATGTTGTCATGAACCATGCAGTGAGCTATACTAGATATAATGTTGTCATGAACCATGCAGTGAGCTATACTAGATATCATGTTGTCATGAGCCATGCAGTGAGCTATACTAGATATTATGTTGTCATGAACCATGCAGTGAGCTATACTAGATATAATGTTGTCATGAACCATGCAGTGAGCTATACTAGATATAATGTTGTCATGAACCATGCAGTGAGCTATACTAGATATAATATTGTGATGAACCATGCAGTGAGCTATACTAGATATTATGTTGTCATGAACCATGCAGTGAGCAATACTAGATATAATATTGTGATGAACCATGCAGTGAGCTATACTAGATATTATGTTGTCATGAACCATGCAGTGAGCTATACTAGATATAATATTGTGATGAACCATGCAGTGAGCTATACTAGATATAATATTGTGATGAACCATGCAGTGAGCTATACTAGATATAATATTGTGATGAACCATGCAGTGAGCTATACTAGATATAATATTGTGATGAACCATGCAGTGAGCTATACTAGATATAATGTTGTCATGAACCATGCAGTGAGCTATACTAGATATAATGTCGTCCCGAACCATGCAGTGAGCTATACTAGATATTATGTTGTCATGAACCATGCAGTGAGCTATACTAGATATTATGTTGTCATGAACCATGCAGTGAGCTATACTACCGGGTAGATATAATGTTGTAATGAACCATGCAGTGAGCTATACTAGAAATAATGTTGTCATGAACCAAGCAGTGAGCTATACTAAATATAATGTTGTCATTATACTTTCAATGTCAATAGTTAAACTCCTCCCTCTCCCAAGGAGAGTTTTTTTATTGGGACATTTGTTGTAGAACTTATTTTCTTTTCTACTGATTTATCTTTCTTTTTAAATTTTTAATCTGGGAAAAAAATTCCAATCTAAATTGAGATGAATAATTTGAAATTATCTTGGAAGATGCAGAAATTTGGAGATTTTTTTTATCTAAAATTGGTGTTTCTGCTTCCCTCTCAGGAGGTATATAGAAATAAGAAGATGTGGTATGAGTGCCATTGAAACAACTCTCCATCCAAGTCACAATGTGTAAAACTAAACAATTATAGGTCAAAGTACGGCCTTCAACACGGAGCCTTTGCTCACACCGAACAGCAAGCTATAAAGGGCCCCAAAATGACTAGAGTAAAACAATTCAAACAGGAAAACCAACGGTCTAATCTATATAAAAAACAAGAAACGAGAAACATTTATGAACCACAACAACAAACGACAACCACTGAACAATAGGCTCCTGACTTGGGACAGGTGCAAGCAAATGCAGTGGGTTTAAACATTTTAACAGGCGCCAACCTTCACCCTAACCCGAAACAGTAGTGTAACATTACAACATAGAAAACCACACTATAAAATATCAATTGAAATGGCTTAACTCGATCAAAAAGACATATTAACACAAGAGTGCACACGCTGAAATGTCTCGCCTGTTTGACTGACCATTGATTTAATGTTGAAAATCTTGAAGATAAAGGTTTTACTACAAGTATCACAAAAACTTAACAATTTCAAAGATCCATGACAATGAGGTCAAGGTCAGATAAAAAAACTGTCACACAGACATGTACACCTTACAATTATTCCATACACCAAATATAGTTGACCTATTGCTTATGGTAATTGAAAAACAGACCAAAGCACAAAAACTTAACATTGACCAATGAACCATGAAAATGAGGGCAAGGTCAGATGACACTGGCTAGACAGACATACATTCCATACACCAATTATAGTTGACCTATTGCTATAAGTATTTGAAAAACAGACCAAAACACAACATCTTAACATTGACCAATGAACCATGAAAATGAGGGCAAGGTCAGATGACACCGGCTAGACAGACATGTACACCTTACAATCATTCCATACACCAATTATAGTTGACATGTTGCTATTAGTCTGAAAAACAGACCAAAACACAAAAACTTAACATTGACCAATGAACCATGAAAATGAGGTCAAGGTCAGATGACACCGGCTAGACAGACGTGTACACCTTACAATCATTCCATAAACCAAATATAGTTGACATGTTGCTTATAATACTTGAAAAACAGACCAAAACACAAAAACTTAACATTGACCAATGAACCATTAAAATGAGGTCAAGGTCAGATGACACCAGCTAGACAGACATGTACACCTTACAATCATTCCATACACCAAATATAGTTGACCTATTGCTTACAGTACTTGAAAAACAGACCAAAACACAAAAAATTAACAATGACCAATAAACCATGAAAATGAGGTCAAGGTCAGATGAAACCTTCCAGTCTGATATGTACTCCTTACAATCATTCCATACACCACATATAGTTGACCTGCTGCTTGTAGTATCTGAGAAACGGACCTAATCACGTAACTTTAACCTTGATCACTGATCCATGAATTGAGGTCGAGGTCAGGTTAACCCTGTATGACGGACATGTAGATGTTGCAAGGAACCCGTATACCAAATATAGTTATGCTTTTACTCATAATAAGTGAGAAATTCACATGACAAAAAAACTTATTTTTCAATCAGTCACTGAACCATGAAAATGAGGTTAAGGACAATGGGCATATGACAGACGAAAACTTCGTAACATAAGGTATCTGCATACAAGGTATGAAGCATCCAGCTCTTCTCCCTTCTGAAATATAAAGCTTTATACAAATAGTTGACACCAACGCCGCATAGTAATACCTATGTCTAGAATACTGCGACTTTCGTCGCAGACGAGACAAAAAACAAGTAAACATACACTGAAAGAATAAATTTGATCTATGACACAATATAAATACAATATTACCGGGTAATAAAAATAAATTGCTTCGCCGAGCGCAGCTGGATACGACCGCAGAGGTCCAACCCTGAACAGTTGGGGAAAAATGGACACAATATTCGCGTTTGATACACGTCTGAATTAGGATTGTAATTAAATATTTGACACATAACAGGTTTCTGACACAGAATAACTGTAGTCAAAGAACTTAGAATTGGTTATATGATTTTCAATTTTTTCCTTTTGTGCAATAAACTATGCACTTGCGAATTGACCCCCCCCCCCCCCCCCAAAAAAAAAAAATTAAAAAATTAACCCCCACTTTTTTTTTGCTTTTGTGCAATACACTATGCTGTTGCGATTCTTTCCCTCAAGATATGGTCATAATCTCAATTCAAATTTCCAATGGAGTTTGCAACCATAATTACCCATTTAAATACATCATAAAAGTCTTAAAATAGAAAATGACATACATAATCATGGCTAAAATTAATATTCCTTAATCAGCATTTTTAAATAGTAACTTCTAAAAATAAATTGACAGCTAATCACCTCAAGACAATACAACATTTCTTTATACATAATTTAAAAGCAGTGTAAGGGAGGTAATCCAAACATAACATTGTACTTTTTTTTAATTGTCCATTAACCAGGAAACCCTTGTTTTTCCCCCTTTTTTGCCCCTAATTCCTAAACGGTTTGAGCCATATCCCCCAAAGCCAATCCTTACCATCCCTTTGTGGTATGGAAACTTGTGGTATAATTTCAGAGAGATCCATACACCGTTCCACAAGTTATTGTCTGGAAACTAGAAAAATGCTTATTTGGGCCCCTTTTTGGCCCCTAATTCCTACACTGTTAGGACTATAACCCCCAAAATCAATCCCAACCTTCCTTTTGTGGTTATAAACCTTGCGTTTAAATTTCATAGATTTCTATTTACATTTACTAAAGTTATTGTCCGGAAACCAAATGTCTTCAGACGATGCTGACGACGCTGTGATACCAAAATTTTGCGGTCGTATAAAAACGGGATGTAAAACACATTTTTGTGCAAAAGATATTAGAACACTCCCATTGCTCTAGAAAGTTGACATGAATGAATTTTCTAATGTTTATATTATACATTATTGATAGCATGTTAAGAGACAGAAACAAGTAAATTTGGTATACTGTGGATTCATTATAA